CTTTAATTAGACCCAAAAAGAAGGTTTACTTATTAAGATTATCTCTTTTAAAGCACTTTTCTAAAATTTGGGGGTACGAATACCAAAAGTGGGAGGTACGTATACCAGCTCCCTATAAAAAATTTATAAAATTTGGTTTGCGGCTTAGGTTGATATTAATGAGGTTGATATTAACGGGGGTAACCTGTATAAAATTTTTTTATATGTATATATATTTTTTTTAAAAAAAAAAGCTTATAGCTTAAAATTTTATTTAAAAACTATTAACTTTTATTAAAAAACTTTTGCAAAATTTTACTATACAATACCTTACTCTAATCTCCAACTTCTAACTTTAATATTTAACTATATAATTAATTTCATGTTATACAAAATACTGGTGAATACCAGTGATGTGATTTAAAACCGTTATTTTTTCAACTTTTTAATTTAGTCTAAAGGCTATAAAATACAAATTTAAACCCGATTTTAACGCTCACCGGGAGTGAAATTCACCGGGTATATTGTTTCTCAAAAACGGTTTTGATAATCGGTATTTGGTATACTATCCAGCATCCTAAAAAAACCCTAACCTCTATCTTAATTTAGGCCATTAGACCCTAACTCTAATTTTAGCTTTAACATTTGTGATAAAATTTCTATAGATCATATAATAATAATTAAAAACATATCGTGGTGAATTTCACCGATGAATACTAAATTTAATTATTTTATATAAAATTATCCACAGCTAAAAAGTTTTATTTATTGGACTAGGGGTTGTCCGAACTGTACGCACTATGTATTATGCATTATCGTTACCGTATGTTACCGAATAAAAGCAACTCCTGAATACCAGTTTTGGAGCGAAATGTGACGGAGGTTATTAAACAATCTCTTCACATTGACCCGAAAAATGCTTTTTTTTTTTTTTTGTAATTGCTTTTGTTCAGTATTCAGTGTTCATGATAATAAAACTAGTCAAAAACCGTCCAAATCTTCAGATTAGACAGGCGCACATGGTCACAAAACTGTACATCATACCTTTAAATATAGCCATTACATAATAGTGGAGCAATGATCAATCATGTGATATCTCAATTGAACCATCGAAACAATCGAGACAGGGTTGGGGAAACACGAGGTAGCCAATCAGCAATAACGTAAGTGAATCAACCATATAAATAGTAAAGGAATTCCTAGTCACAATCAAATGCTATTAGATAAACTTAGAGTTCTTTCTCTTTGAGAAACACAAAATATTTGTTTTTTCGGCACTTTTCCCCTTCGTAAATATTTTCAAAAAACAAAACTAAAGAACTTCATTATATAACAAAATAGTACAGTTAGAAGAAAGCTTTGAAAACACAGCAATGGGTCTTACTTATCGTACCTACCTTAATGGCACCCGAATTTTTGGTTGTAATAAATGTCGAACACACCTTTCCACGACCGACAGTATTATTTCAAAGGTCTTACACTTTTTTAAATAATTTGGCAGGTTTGGATTTTTCATACATATTTCAAAAATTATATAATTTGCATCTTATCGCAGGCTTTTCAGGGACAGCATGGGCGTGCTTACCTTTTCGATACAGTGTAACTATTTTTAACATAAAATCTTAAAAATGGTTGTATTTTTGTTCATAATTAGTAAATAAAGTATTAATATTATTTGATAGGGTTAATGTGGAAGAAGGCCCGTCCGAGGACCGTCATATGACTACAGGTCTTCATACAGTAAAAGATATTTATTGTTCTCGTTGTAGATCCGTATTAGGGTGGAAATATGTAAGTAATTTGATCAGTTGATCATAATATTTTGATATTTTTAAATAGAAAGTTGAATAATAATTTTTACGTGAAATTTCCAGGAAAGAGCATATGAACAAAGTCAACGCTATAAAGAGGGGAAATATATTCTGGAAAAGCAGCTTCTTACTGACGTTATTTGACGAATAAATATGATTATGTTTTCTTAAATTGCTTTCATGAAAAAGCTTTCAAGACTTTTGCAATCATAAGATAATTATGATCCGTTGATGATCCCTTACCTATGACCTAATGTGAATAGTTATAATTGTTAGTTTCTTACAAACTTCGTGCATATATGCTGATTTCTCTTCAATAATTAGATAAATTAGATTGACAATTCTTCTTATATACACAACTCAAATAGTTAATATTCAAATACACTAGGTCTTTTTTAATAATTTCTGGGATTGTGGCTTTAAAACAGAAGTTATCTTCTGCTTATTATGGCAATGCGATTATGCTCTTTTTTTTTTTTTTTTTTATTTTTAGTTTCTTTTTCTCTTTGTATTGTATGTTTCCTTTGGAAGTTTATGCATTGTTTTGATCTGAATAAACCTTTTTTTTTTTTTTAAAAAACAACTTTTTTGCTTTATACGAATTTGAAAATTTAATTAATAGATTATTGAAGTGGATTGGATTGAAAATATGTAGGTACGAAATTTAATGATTTTATCGGTAATGTCTTTTTTTACGAACATAATGACGCTAATTGTCTTTGTATTTTATAATCGGACGAATTATACTAACCACAATTTTTAGAATTTTGCCTTAGAAAATTTATTCACAAGTTTAGCTATTTATTTTTTTGGATTCTAAAATTGGTTGTACGATATCTTCTAATTTATATTCATTTTGAACTTTTAAATCTAAATCCTTTAATATCGCTTTATCATTCATAATTTCCTTTTCTCCTACCAATATTGCATGTGAAGCATTTGTTTTTACAACGTTTGCCAATATAGTTTTCAGTGATAGATGATCTGCACTAGGAATATGATAAAGAAATGTTTTAATATTATGAGAGCGTAACACTCTAGAAATTTTAAGGCCATAGCAATAAAGCATCATGTTATTATTTGTGCTACAATTTTCCGTTGATAAAATAGCCATATCTCGATCCCGAATGATGACAACCGCAATTGGCCTTTCCCGTAGAATATCATTATCATGTAATATTGCGGCTAGCCTGTTTACTCCTGCAGCCCATCTACTTACAATAAACAAAATTGGTTAAAAGATAAAGTAAAATAAAAAACACATAAGAATCAAATATCATACCCTATTCCTGGAACTTTTTCTTTTCCACCCATCAATTGAACAAGATTATCATATCTCCCACCAGCAAGTA